TTTTTTTTTTTATTTTTTATTTTTGGGACAGAGAGAGACAGAGCATGAACGGGGGAGGGGCAGAGAGAGAGGGAGACACAGAATCGGAAACAGGCTCCAGGCTCCGAGCCATCAGCCCAGAGCCTGACGCGGGGCTCGAACTCACGGACCGCGAGATCGTGACCTGGCTGAAGTCGGACGCTTAACCGACTGCGCCACCCAGGCGCCCCTAGAGTAATCATTTTTTAAAAACAAATGCTCTGCAGAGATGACTGAGGCTAGGAGAGTAGGTGTTTGCTGGCCAGAAGGGCTCACTGCAGGTTGTTCTAAACCCCTGAGGCCTTCCCAGTGACCAAAGGGCATGGCTCTGCCCAAGGCACAGACAGAACCCCCTGGGGGTGCTGTTGCCCAATGGTGTTGCAGGCCCTACAGCTTTTTTCACCTGGATGGAAGGGACTCAGAACCAACTTACCCAACTCCCCACTGTCATGGAAGTCACCTGTGCCCAGGTACACCTCATACCCTCTCCTCACAGGAAATGGCTGAGTCCAGACCAGTTTTATTGCAGAATGCCCCTCAGTTGGGTTTGATCATCTCCTGAACTGCATTTTACTTTTCAAGTCCCTCCATCGTGGTGGGCTAGAAAGACTGCCACCGACACCAGATTTGCATGCACTGTAACCGTCCTCTGCATTTGGAGTCCAACCCTGGGAGCGCTGGGTCACTTGTCAAGGCTTGCTTCCAAACTCGGAGGACCATTAGCAAAGTTAGGAGTTGTGCCTAAATCAATTTCCTTTCCCTAAAGTAATTATTTGTTTAGCAAATAAGTTTTGCTACTCTTTACAACGCATGGTGGGTGATTGATGGATTGCTGCACAGTGCAAATAAAAAGGAACACTTTCTCTAAATTTTTCTACCTGGGAACTAAGGGGAAAAACAAGAAAAAAGAAAAGACTTTTAAATTGTAAATTCTACAATGTTTGCTAATGAAGGCAGAATGGCTTTCTTTTTTTTTTTTTTTTTTTAGCAAACAATTGCTTTGGGAAGAGAAATGTAAACCCCCCTGGTCAACCCTCATTCTTCTTCCCACAACTTGGTCTGTAATCTTTCAACCTGTTGAGCCTCTCCCTTCCCGAGGCCAAATCACCTGCCAGCAGACAAACTGAGAAAATTAGGGGCTTAGTAGTCAGTTTTTCCAAAAGATAAATTTAGACCAATTAGAAACTGGGCTTTTGTACTGAGTCGTTCTCCTTTCTCCGCTACTGGTATTAAAATCACTTTCTTTTAGAAGAGAATTGTGAGAATGCATGGTCACCTTTTTTGAGGAGGAGGGAGCAAAATGTCTATTCATGGCCTCATTTACCAACTAAATGTTTGATTGCTTTATGCTGGTCCAGTTTTTTCTCTCTATTTATGTGTGTAGTTATTTATTTAATAGTTAGTTAGTTAGTCAGTTAGTTGATCTGAAATCTAAAGTCAGGAGAGACACTGATTTGGTTAAGAAAAGAAAAGAGGGGCGCCTGGGTGGCGCAGTCGGTTGGGCGTCCGACTTCAGCCAGGTCACGATCTCGCGGTCCGTGAGTTGAGCCCGTCAGGCTCTGGGCTGATGGCCTGGAGCAGCCTGTTCCTGATTCTGTGTCTCCCTCTGCCCTCCCGCTCATGCTCTGTCTCTCTGTCCCAAAAATAAATAAACGTTGAAAAAAAAAAATTAAAAAAAAAAAAAAAAAAAAAAAAGAAAAGAAAAGAGAAGAAAAGAAAAGAAAAGGAGCCTGAGATTGGGAGTCAGAAGTTACACATGGCTTTCAGTCCGGGATCTGTCACTTAAGCCTTAACAAGATCTTAGGATCCTGAGCAGGTATCTTCAACAGCCTCCATTAGCCTCACCTTATGATTTATAAAAATTGAGTAGTAAGTGAGACTCCATCTAAGAGCTGATGGGATGAAATCTTTCCATGGGCTTTTACTTTTTGTTCTTTCGCTTTTGCTTTCTATACCACTTTATTCCAACCTGAGGACCTCGATATAAAACTAAACACCGAAGAACTGTTTTCCTTACTATTTCTGACTTACTGTAAATTTACAAGTTCTGCTAGCAGCTCAACACTTAAATTGATTAAATCATCTCTGACACACGGTAGATTTCATGTAATGAAAATACCTGAAACACTTAGTGCAAAATTCTGAGGTGCTCAAAATAAAATGAACATTGGAAAACAAGACTCCAAGATTGTTACTAATGTATTGAAATACTTACATTGCAAATTACCAGTACATTGCTCATTTTGGTTCTAGCCACGTAAGAACAACTGAATCCCTTCCTTAAAGCAAGATGGGTTCATGTCCCACCTCTTTCACGGGGTTTGGCATATAAGGAAGATCCAGGAAATGTTTTTCGATAAAAACCAATAAATGAAGTGAGAAAACATATTCAACTTTAAAATACCATTAACATGGGTAAATCATCATGATAGGAAGATGCACTTCTAGATCAACATTCCATTCAGCAAAAGAACAAAAAGGCAGTTTGTTGCAGCACATGAAATGTTCTTTCTAAATGGTTTTCCCATTTTATTTAAAGGCTACATTGGTCTCCCTTGTGGCCATGCTCAGGAATAAGAAAAAAAAAAAAAAAACTATGCATTTGCAAAGCAGGAGAGCAATAGAAAAAACTCAAATGAGACTCAAGTACCCAGGAGTAAAGAAGAAAGAAGAATGAGGGTCCCTGTTTCTATTTTTTCCCCATTTCACCAAATAATCCCAAGCTATATCTGTTCCCTGAGCACCAGCAATTTGTGTTTGTGAGGCTGGACCATGAAGGAGAAAGATTGAGTGCAGGACTCACAGGCAACAACTTGAACTGATGGGTCCTCCTCACTATCTTTGTTACCCTGAGACAGTTAATTGCTCTAAGCTTCAGTTTCCTTAACAGAAATAACAAAGATAATAATGCTCACTTCACAGGATTGAGGATTAACAAATATGCAAGCCCATGTGCTCAGTTTTCTTCCATTTGGCGTAAGCACGAGTGGCTCAGGACTCGTGATTCTGGAAGTGAAGAGAGTTAAGTGGATCATTACTGACATTTGAGAGCCTTCAACCACACTGATTGGTTTGGAAAAAAGCAAGAGCCCAGAAAGGCTACCATGCTAAAAATTTCCATTATTATGTAAAAAAAAAAAAAAATTAACAATGAGCAGTGACTCTTGTTATGGTTCTACAGACCCTAACCACCATCATCCCCCAATTGCATACACCCATTTGACTCCAAAGAGCCACTTAGTTACAATGTTACTGTGCCTCAGAACCCAACCTATCCAAGGTATTAATTAGAGGGACATTTTAACATCTGAGCCACAAAACTGTGGTTTGGGTGGAGTGGGCAGATAACTAAATAAGTAAAATAAGAAAATGAAAGCAATATATCAAGTCCAGAGGTAGCTGGCATCCGTGACAGTGCATAGCAAAATTTCCATCTGAATACTGATAACCCTTAATATTTCCTATTGATTACGTGAAGTTGACAAATCCTAAAGGCACAGAACTGTGCAATAAAAAAAAAAAAAAAGTCAATTTTCCAATGTGATGAGAGTCCTTGAGTGAGAGCCAACGTTATGCAGTGTAGCAATCACACGGTAATGTTAAGGGAAATAAGATGGAGGTTTTATATAGCTGTTTGCTTCGCCCCAGTAAAGTATGTCTGTTAGAAAATGGTAGAGCTCAGTAGATTGATTTGTTCTTATGGAGAATCAAACCTTCTCCATCAAGTTAGTTGGCTGTATATACTTTCCTGCAATTATCAATGGTGGGTTTTAAAGGAATTTTTTTCTGGTTTTATTATCATAATCTCTAAAAACTCTATGGTATTTCTTTTTTTAATCAAGAGAGGGTTTTCCAATTCAATCTTCAATCACATTAGAAAGAGGATGTGATGAGCCATTTATAAATAGTTTATATGGTAGGGACTGGAAAATTATACTGAAAGCCCAGCTAATTAGCTGGTAAACAGTATGCTATACATAAATACTTGATGACAGGCTTACAGAGATTTACCCCCCAAGAAATTCTAGTATTCTATTGTTGTTTATTTGTTTGTTTTTTTAAGCAAGCAAGCATTATCCATGTCATTGCACACCTTTGGAAACGTCAAGCAACATTGGTTTACAAAAGCTTTATACTTACAGACTTGATTTGTTAAAGGTTTGTGGTGTTGGCCAAACACTGGAGGAGACAACTGCATTCTAAATAAATTCAAAATTTGCTTGGGAAATTGTGTTTCCAAACTACACATGCATACCCACAAAAGGAAAATGCAGTATAATCTACCACAGAAAAGGGAATGACAAATGAGAAGTCAACCGTGTAAACTTTTGGAAGGTGGCCTCTTGATACATTTTGGGAATGATATGAGTTTGACTGTAAATGGCAATAAACAAGTCCTCTTTAGACAGAACAGTCTGTTGCATGATGGGATTGTCATTTTCTAGGCCTCATTCGTCTACAAGAGCTCATCAAAGCTCCCTCCAGATATAACATTAAAATCAAAATCCGCCAGCTGCCCTCTGGGAATAAAGATGCCAAGCCTTTACTCAAGGAGATGAAGAAGGGCAAGGAGTTCTATGTGATATTTGATTGTTCACATGGGACAGCTGCTGAAATCCTTAAGCAGGTAAGAGGGTGCAGGGAGGAGGTGAGGTGGGGGGGGGGATATGTTCGTTTCTTTTTCTCAAAAATGCCATCTGGTTTCACTGAGTGCAGCGTGATAAAGCTGCTGCAGTCCAGTTTAGGCTGAGGACTGCAGCTTTCAGAACCCTTTTAAGGAGTCACAGGGCTCGGGGAGTTTAATGAAGCCACTTGCTGTATGTAGTTGTAGATGGTGGGGGGGGGGTGTCTTAGGTATTGGGAGGTACGTCGATAACGTCAACAGAGGTTGACAGGAGAAAGATGTCATTTCAAGGTGATTAAGCATCTCATCTTTCAAATCTCTTGAAAGACTGGGCAGATTTCATTTACACAGCGCCTGACTTGTCCTAAAGACATCTTCCTCATGGCAAGACCTCTTTTGTCAAACACGCAGGATTCCAAGCATGGTGAAAAGGGGGCACAGGGACAATGAAAGAAGAGATGCTTCTCTCTTGTAACTCGTCATAGACAATGAGCTGCCATGCATTAATCTTTATGAATAATGTGAGTAGAAACACTTGATAAATTGCAAAATCGTATGTAAGTGAAAGGTATTAGTAATGTTAGGAATAATGATAACAGCAGAGTAATCATTTCTAGCACTTCAGGATATAGCCCTGATCTTATGCCCGTGAAAGAAAATTCAGAATTGGAAAAAAAGATAGAGCATAGACCAGCGTCCTTCACCCAGAGTGATTTTGGACACTCGAGGAATTTTGGTAATGTCTGGAGACATGTTTGGTTGTCATATTGGGGACAGTGGCACTCTCCTGGCAACTAGTAATTAGAAGCCAAGGAAGCTGCTAAATACCCTATCATGCACAGGACATCCCCCACAACAAAGATTTATGTACCCTAAAATGCCAGTAGTGCTGAGGTTGAGAAACTCTGGCATAGACAAAGACAATGGAAAAGGCTAGCCAGATGTTTAAAATAGAAGCATTAATAAAAGATCAAGGGATGAATTTGGAGGAACATGGGGAAAAAAAATAGCCAGGTTATATTTACGTGGCCTTAATGGGTGTCTCTTTGTATTGAATATAAGTGGTTATTGTAGCATAAGGCAATGTTCTTGTCTGAAATGACACAAGCTGTTATTGTACTCTCTAGTTTAAAAGGTTTAGGATGTGCTATGTGGTTCACTGGCAATGGGCACTGATCTCTTAAGCACACCAGTCCCTCCGTACAAATGCAGAACTGCGGATTTCCGAATCACTTGGGAGAGCTCTTAGAGCAGCCTATCCACCTGACTCTCCACGGCTGGATCTCATACCTGAAGCCATGGAGTTCAGAGTTGAGGTTTTAATTTCACCTGAAAGTAGACAATCAGGAAAGTTGACTACATGTTTCTATTATCTCCTGGATGGTTACACTAAAAATCTATATCGAGTCAGAGAAATATTTAAAGTTGCAGTTGAAAACAATCTTAGACATCATCAAGGCCAATTCTTTCACTTTAGGGGAGGCGAAATGACTTTCCCACAGTTACAGAGCCAGGATCTGGAACTCAGCCTCCTCTATCCCATCCTGAACCTTCTCCTCTATGAAATTTTGCTTCTCTAGTTAGGGGAAGAGTAAGTGTTACCTACTTCTAGACTACAGTTGTGTTAACAAACCTTTAGATACTATAATCGTCTCTCAGTAAAGAAAGCAAGCATATTGTAGTGATGTCACAAGCTAACTTCAAAGGTAAATAAATACAATCAGCAGCGTTTTATCTTGAGGCTTCATTTGAGAATTTCAATTCAGTTCATTAAAGTGTGTAATGGGGTGTGAACCAGAACTGAGAAAAACACCCAGATTCTATGCATAGCCCTCAAAATACAAAAAAGCATCCCCTCCGGGAGTCTGTTATAACAGAGACTGGGGACTTCTGTTAGATTTAAGACAATGATTTGCTGATGAGACTTCTCTTGGTGAGATAACCATTTGGCTCACATACCTGGCTACATCTCTCCCAAAGCACAGGCTTGGAACAAGCAAGCCTGGGAAAGAGTTTCTCCTCTATTTCAATAAATATGGATTTGATGTCCCACTGATGCAAGTGGCTCTTTCCTGATAGCATAGAGATTACTTCATTCAAAGACCAATTTTTTGGAACAACAAACCAAAAAAACCTTCTAAGTGAAGCCCTCCCAAGAAATGTCAGCCGGGCTAAGAGGGAGTGGGATTAGTTCAGTTTTGCTCTAGCCATTGACGTAAACCCTTTCCTCCATCCTGTGCCCTATTATGTTTTATCTTGTATTCACTCTCCTCATCATGTGAGTGGTAGGATTGCTGTGAGGCTTTGGGGGAAGTATGTTCATCCACTTTTTGTTGCAGACTAATGAGTTACAAATGTTTGGAAGTGGGGAGAGCCTTTGTAGAAGTTCTAGCATAAAATCCCTACCTTACTGTGTGTGAAAATACATTCACTCTTTGTGAAATCACAGCAGAGGCTCCAGGTTGGTTTTATCCGGACCTCTGAGAAGCTATATGGTTGGAAAGTGATACTGAGGACCGTAGGACTTGCTATTCTGGTTAAAATGAGGCCCAAGGGCTCTGTGTGACCCAGTTTGACTTGCTCCATTAGCTTTGGACAACAACCTGTGGAAACAAAGACAGAGACCTTCCCTGTAACTGTCTGCCCAGTGTGCCTCTAGGGAAGCTGGAGAGTGAAGGAGTTCAAGGCCCTAATTCCAGCCACTAGTCAACCAATCTCTTCCAATCTCTTTTCCTGAGGTGCCATGATGATTCCTGGCATCCGATATTCTGTCTAATGCAGACAACCCCTGGGGTAAATTTGGTATTCTCAGGTAAGAGTTGAGGAAACTGAAGCTCACATAGGTTAAGTGCCCCAACAAGGTCACTCTCTGAGTAACCAGGCTGCCACATGGTCTCCAGACCACCTGTTTTTGGAGCCTGTGTGCCCACTTTACCACGAAGGGCCCCCATTCATAATGGGTAAGCCATTCCATTTTGAAGTAGGCTTCCAGAATGTCTGAAAGAAACACAACCACTTGCTGCTGGTCTCTTTTAGATAAACTTAATATTAATAGCTCCCAATTTTTGGTGACTAAAATCATTGCTGATAAAATTTTCTCTGCCAGGTCAACTTGGCTTTCTTCTCAAGCACATTTCCCATTATTTCCTTGCATTTCCCTGCACCTTCATCATATTTTACTACTTTGTAATGATTCTTCAGAAAAAAAGAAATCAAATGCACTTTAAAGAAGATATCTGACATTTATCTAAAAGTAAAAATTGGGGGGAAAAGTCTATAGTTATTCTTGGGCATGCTAATCACTCCGGTAAGGTAATTATTTCTATTCATATTGAACAAGTGCTATATGATGAGAATCTGAAGTTATTTCTTAAAAATTAGTTAGAAATTCAAATGTCAAGACTTGATTAGGTTACAGAGGAACAGGGCTTTCGTATGAATGAAATGTCTTTGTGAATTTCTGTAGTCTGAGAGTGCCCCCAGCAACCAGCAGGATATACATAGGACTCATCCCATCACTCAGCATCCTCTTCTCTCCCTGTCTATCCACCACCTCCCAGTGGGCGTTCTGTTGCTTGGCAAGGATGCTACTGTCTCCTAGCCTGTCTCCAGCGTGGACACCCCAAATCCTCAGCACTTCCCCCAATTCCTACTCTCTTCCCACTGACTCTCCACTGCCTGCCCTACCTGCACCCTTACTGATTCCTACTGAGGCTGATTCTACCAAGAGAGTGGCTGATGGGAGACGAATTTAAAGATGAGGAATGAAGTGAGAACACTCTGCACTGGAACTCCTAACACACGTCCAGCACCATGCTGGTTGATAAGCAACTGTCTCCTTTACTCTACCCAATAACTCTTGGTATAATTGGTATTATCCTTCTTTTGCACACAAAAATTGAAGCTCAGAGATAGTAATAATTTTATCCACCATGTACTGAGCATGCTCATAATGCAAACATCTGGGCATCGACTCGTTTGTGGTCCATATTCCCTACAATACTATAACCTCCAGGAGGATAGAAACCTCCTTTGTCTTGTTCTCCTAAATCCCCAGCATGTACTACATTACTTGACACACAGTGGGTGCTCAACACTGCTCTGCTGAATGAATAAAGGAAATGGATAAATGAACGATCCAAGAACTGTACTAGAAGCTCTTGAGAAAAGCAGTCTCCTAAATCGCCTCCCTCCAGCTCACTCAGTGTGCTGTACTCTCAACTCTGCCAAGCACATTTGAGCAAGTCGCCCCTCTATGCCTCAGTTTCCTCAAAGGAAGGTTTTATTCAATGTCTGAAGCCCTATATTATTAAGAACTGTAATGCATTTCAGCCTATGATTCCACTTCCTGAAATACATTTACCTCTTTGGAGAGCTGCACAGACACTTTCAAATCCTGTAATAGGATTGAGAAAGCAAGTCACAATTTCAAGCACAGTAGCCGGAATCCTAACGGTTCCCTGACGGAAAGGGAGGGGACACCGTGATGCTCCGTTCAGCAGGGAAGCTGCATCAGGGCTGGGCCGAGTCCCTGAGCTGGACAGCGGCCAGTAGGTGATCATGAACATGCTGTTTCCCTCTCAGGAAACCTGCTTTCTTGTTTCCATGAACAAGTGCTTCAGAAGAGAGACTTCTCATCCCCCTCACAACACTTAGAGCAATGAGCATTAAGCTATAATTGAGCCATTAGTCTCCATAAAACATTTTAGAACCAAAATATTTCGTGGAATTATATCACATTTTCTCCTGTCAACATTTGTGCTCTCTTGTTTTTATTTTTTTTCCTTTCTGTCAATTAACATAAAAACAAGGCCAGGGAGAAAATGTAGTTTTAATACCCTGCTTCCTTCTACTAGGAAGTGGAGCGGTAATGCTGATTAGTTAAATAATTTTGCGCATTGATTCTTTCCTCGTAGATGTTGTATCTATTGCCTATGAGCAGGACAAACAGAGATGGTTAGAAAGAGTTCATTTCATATTTCCACAGGACAGAAGCACAATCA